GTTGCGTCTTCCTTGCGGGCAAGGGGTCGCGACACCCAGCTACTATTTAAGCTGGTAGCAGACCTTGGCATATTCCATGTGGTGCTGTTTCTGCAAGGAATGCAGGATGCTGAAGTTAAGAGCTCATGAAGGCTTCCACTGAGATTTCAAAGGAAGGCATGGTATTTTAGGCAAAGAGTAGCAGAGTCAGAATTCCTGTGGGTAACCCGAGAGGGTGATGCATGAAGTTGTGACAATGAAACCAACACTGCAATGGAGACTTGAAGAAGTAAGAAATATGAGGACTGTGGACCATCTGCCAAAAATGTCTGCAGTCTGTGGACAGAGTCAGGTCAGGAGAGAGGCCATGTGGGTTGCAACCAACAAGGCCATAGGAGTAGGGCTGCCCAAGCCCTTTTGGGCCCACATCTCCCTATCACATGCCTCCAATGCTGAACATGGAGTTAATGAACTTAATTTTTGCCCTGCCTAATTTTTTGTCTTGGTTTGGACCCCCCCCTCCCTTTTTATGCTCCCATTTCCTCTGTTTTGGAATGGGAATGTCTTCCCTTTGCCATTGTATACTGTATGTGTGGATTAGTAAGTTTTCTCTAGAGGAACGGAACCAAGAGAATATTTATATGTATGATTATAAAAAGGGGAATTTATTAGATTGGCTTCATCGCCAGAAGCTGGATTATCCCACATACCTCTGGCTGCACACCAAAGAACCAGAGGAACCAATAATTGCTCAGTTCAAGAAGCTGTAGCCTCAGATAAAAGGGCCAATAATGCAGCCCAAGTCCAAGACTAAAGACCCAGGAACACCTTGGAGAATCACTGTTCAGAGTCCAGACGAAAAGAGAGAAGGAGCTGGAGTCCAACACTCTCAGATAATGGTGGCAGCAATCAAAACACCCACTAAGAATAGAGCTTGCATCTGCCTCAGATTCCTCCTGCTTGGGCTTTTTGTTCTATCTGGGGCTCAAATCTATTGGACTGTGAAGCTCATATTCAGATTAGATGGGGGTCTCTTCTCAATTTGCTGCCCCACATGCTAATTATCTATGGATGTGTCCTTTGTGGACACATCTCGAAGTATTAATCCTAGAAACTCATAATCCGATCAAGTTGACATTCCAGATTAACCATCACACATTAAAGAAACCATTAAACAAGATGACAGGAACTTTAACTTGAAATCTTCAATTATTAGAAGCAAATGACAGATTTGATATAAGGAGGCATTGCAGTTCAAAGCCCCATTTTTCTGGGGTCCAGAATTTTTGTAAAACACCTACCACAGGTATTTTTAGTATCTGTCATTTCAAAACCCTTTTTAAGTTACTGCAGATACAGAGATGGATCACTTGGTACTCCTTCTGGGACAGAACACAGCAGTTGTTCTACAACTACACAGTAATGCGGCTCAACGATTTAGGTGAAGACCGCAAAAAAAATCATTTCTGGTTGAAGTTAAAAAGAAATGTATTGATCTGCGCTGGATTTCTGCCAAGTTACCAGGCCAGGGACACATCCTTTTCAGTAAACCCTTAATGATTATAAGCTGAGGTTAGTCTGATGCTTTCTCTCAAATATACAGTCTCTCAACCACTAAGCAAATATTTTCAGTACTGTACCCTGGTACTGGGTCTTCATTTAGCTAGTCTCCAAATTTCTATAGCTCCCGAGAGAAACTTTTAAAACCTCTTCATGGCATTGGCTATGAAATTGGTATTCTAATCCTAGGTGTAGCCTGGGGATGACTTCTTTTCAAAGCAACCTCTATCCCACAAAGCAGGCTGATAGATGCTAATATGTTTCTAAATATCACTGTCCATTTTCACAGAGCTGCACTTGTTAGTCTATAAGTTATACCCCAGAGACACAACTATGATGAATGAATATGTATATTTATACACATACATACTCAATTATTTAGGTGTTCCAAATAAAATGTAGTATTTTAAGTGATATCCCAGTTTTCAGACCATAGTTTGAAGATATATCTTCAATAGAGATTTCACTTGTACCCCTACAGAGGGGCTTCTTTCTTCTCCTGGACTTCTTTATAGTCTCTTCCATTTTAACAATACTTTTTAGCCTCCTAGAGTATGTGCTTCTTGCCACTAGTGATGATTTTGCTCTGGTCTTGGGCTTGCTCATGCATGCTGCAAAGATTTGCTAAATACACCATGAGATCTTGAAGACACAGTCATTATTCTCAGACTCCTATGTGTGATCAGCCCCAAGTGAAGGATAATCCTGCACTACTCACCTAGCATCCTCCAACTCTTCAGTTCTCTGGATGACATCATGTTCATAATTCTTTCTCCACTGCACTACTTTAGTATTGCCTTTGGATAGTGTCCAGTGAAGCTTAGCCTTGATCTCTGGTTCTTCCTCACAAAAGGTCATAGTCATGCCTAGTTGACAGCAAATGGGCCAGGGAACTCTTGAGACTAGAAGGGACACATGTTTTAAAAATGGCATACCATCATTAACAAGGAAATTCTTGGAGGTGACATAATTTATTTTTAAAAGATAAAGTTAATAACAACCTGCCACAATTCAAGCAGAACTTCAACCTCACAAGATAATACCAGGGGTGAAATTTGGGACAAGAAGAGAAAGGATAGAGAGTAACTAATTTTCCATTAAGACAGGAAAGAGTTCCATTTAGGGAAATGGCAATCCAACTATGTGGGCTTCAATGATGGACAGGCTTGGAGTCCTAGAAGTAGTGGAGAACACAAAGGTAGCAAGGAGAAGCTCATTATTATTTAGGCACTAAGATTTGTTTTAACTGATGTGAGACTCAGACTCTGTTTGAATCACAAAGAACTACTGTGTTTCAGACTAGCCTCTTTATTCTGTGGATTAAGAAACATCTTTAATCTTACCTGTAAACCTCTGAAAACTTCACCTCTCATCACTTTAAAATCATGCTCTCCAACAAGGCTTTCTATAGTAATCAAAATATTATAAGTGTACATTGTCTAAGATAATAATGAATAGCCACATGTAGCTGTTGAACACTGAGACTGTGCCCAGAACATGAGTTGTCAAAACTGAGTCTTCAATTTCATTTTAATTAATGTATGTTTAAATTTAGATAACTATCTGTACAGTATAGTAGCAGCTCCTGCTGAGTTTAATGAAAATTTCTATCATTAAATTGTGGTCTAGCCAAACAATCAGCATTATTCCTGGGAGGTGACCTCATATAGTAGGAAGAACAGGGACTTGACCAATCTTCATGGGTCCATTTCACAAATTAAAAGCAGAATCATCTTAGGCAACTGCAGCTCTGAACGCAAAGCTTATTTAATGGCACCCACAGCCAGACATCCTTGGGCAGTGAATGAGGAGCATTGATACAAGTTGAGTCTGAGCAGGACACAGGATTTGGAATCAGGTAAACCTGGATTAAAATTGTGGCTTCTCTTCTTCTTTAACATGTATTTTTGAGTACCCATTTTAGGCATTAGTATTATAGAAGTAAAGGAGACAAAGACAAAGTCTTTGCCTTCAGGAACCAGAAAAAAAAAAAGAATAAGAGAATACACAAAAGTCATCATGTAAACTTATTAATAGACATTCTAGTAATTTTAAMAAACCCTACATGATAACATGATATATAATATTTGTCTTCTCATCATTCCCCAAAGAACTCTGGGGAGGGAATAGCAATGGAAATAGCAGTTAAAACAATTCTAAGGTATGAATTATAAAGGCTTATTTAAGAGGCAGACAGAAAGCCAGGGAAACTGGAGGGGATTAATGAAGGAAGCAGATGTGTGAGATAAGTTCACAAGAGGAGACTGGAGCCCAATCAAGGTGGCTTTGTAGACCAATGGGAAGCCCCTGTGAAGGCAGCCAGAAAGATTTTCTAAAATATAAATCAAGGCATTTCACTATGCAAATTCCTTCACATTGCATCTCTAGCTGTGTGACCTTCATCAAGTTATCTTCTTACAGCCATTGTTTCTTCATGTATAATGAATTCTACCTGCTTAATAAAACTGATACAAAACATGAGAGAAGTATCTAGAAAAACGTCTGATGTATAAACAGTGGTAGTAATTTAAAACCTTAGAGGCCCAGGATGGTCCCCAATTACCAGGCCCTCCCCCATAGACCTTCAGCCCCACCTGGAGCCKAGGTCTAGCCCACCTACATCTTGGGACACTGGAGCCATTTCCATAGCCCTCCCCACACAGTAGCCTCCATCTAGGGAGAACAGACAATGCCTGGAGACAGCTTAATGTCCAAATAGGCAGCTCATTGTAAGACCCATCCTTTCAGCCCCATCTCTAAAAATAGTTGCATCTATCTTGGGACACCCCCACTCCTATCTTGAGTTACCTCCACTACTGCTGCCACCACCTTTAGTTGCAGTAGCATCCACCTAGGGACACCGGCCATGGACTGGAAGCCCAACACCAAGGTGTGGTATAGATAATCTGCAGGGACACTACAAGATTATAGGATAGAAATTGCAATACCTCAGGTCCACACTGCAAGAAAGGAAGACACATAGACAACATGAAAAAACAAGGGAAGAAAGTGCTCCAAACAAACCAAGATACTACAATAATAGAATCCATGGACAGAGCAATTGATGAAATGTCAGAGAAGGAGTTCAGAATTTACCTAATTAAAATGATCTGCAAAATAAAAAGAATGACCTAAGGGATCAAATACAGACGAAAATCGATCTCTCCAAAAAGAGATAAGATAACAAATACAGGTAACCATTGATCACACCAACAAAGAGATAAAGGAGTAAATACAGGTARCAAAAGATGACTTCAATATATAAAGATTCTGAAAAAAATCATAAATTCTTGAAAATAAGGAAAAAATAAACCAAATAAAAAACTCAATAGAAAGCATCACCAATAGACTAGGTCACTTGGAAGACAGATCATTACACAATGAAGACAAAATGTACAATCTTGAAAGTAAAGTTGACCACCCAGTGAGGATGATAAGAAACTATGAACAGAATATCCAAGAATTATGGGATAGCATCAAAAGACAAAATGTAAGATTTATTAGGATAGAGGAAGGCACGGAAATTCAAAGGAAAGAAATGGAACCACCATTTGAAACAAGTTAACCTACTCTTCGTTCCGTACCCAAAGGACTTAAAATCAGCATACCATAGAACTGCAGCCACATCAATGTTTATAGCAGCTCAATTCATAATAGCTAAACTGTGGAACCAACCTAGATGCCCTTCAATAGATGAATAGATAAAGAAACTGTGGTATATATACAAAATGGAACCTTACTCAGTATTAAAAGAGAATAAAATTATGGCATTTGCAGGTAATGGATGGGGTTGAAGAATATCATGCTAAGCAAAGTAAGCCAATCCCCCAAAAACCAAAGGCTGAATTTTTTCTCTGATAAATGGATGCTGATCCATAATGGGGAAGGGGGAGGCAAGGGAAGGATGGATGAACTTTAATTGGGGAAAGGGAAGGGGGAATAGGGCAGGAAAGATGATAGAATGAGATGAACATCATTACCCTAGGTACATGTATGACTGCACATATGGTGTGATGCTACAACGTGTACAACCAGAGAAATGAAAAATTGTAATACATTAGCTTAATTTACAAATGAAGCAAAAATATAATTATCTAAAAATTATATATTCATAAATTGGGAGAGCCACATGTAAGCTTTTTGCTTCCCCAGCTGCTACAGGCTGAGCAGCATTCCTCTTCTATGTTCTACCACCATGATATTTCTACCTTGGAGCCAACTAACCATGGACTGAACTTCTAAAACCATGAGCCAAAATAAATTTTTCCTCTTCCATGTTGTTTGTTAGCTATTTTGATCACAGGGGTGAAACAAATATAGCTTCTGAGAGGGCATCTCAGGAGCTTGTAAGACCACAGCTATCTCAGGCTCAGTGAAGTTAGAGTGAAAATTTTCTTGAGAAGAGACCAGTGGGAATCCTTCTTGCACAAGTGGGCGGGGTGTGTGTGTGTGTGTGTGTGTGTGTGTGTGTGTGTATGTGTGTGTGTGTGTGTGTGAAAAAAAAAATATATATATATATATGCGCCATTTAGTGAGATCATGTATAAGTGAGGTACTGTGGTGTCATAGAAGAAAGATACTTGAACATAAACTAATAATTAGCCTGAAACACCTGAACTTAAAAAATTCATCTTTCATCTTTTCACTCTGCTTTCACCCTAAAGAGTAATTTTCCTTTGGGTCACCTGCTAACATTATTTATTCCATAGGAAAAAGATGACTACTTTCTACAACTCAAAGTAAAATAATATTTAGGTAACTCATCTCCACATTCTACTTTTCTGGGTAATTATATGCTTTTCAGTGAGCAATTCAGAATCAGATTCATAGACTTACTGACATTCTGTTAACAATGCAAAATGGAAGCATATACATTGCTTACTCTAAATTTGGTAAACTGTAGAAGTGATTTTAATCACTTCCTAGTATTTACAAGGTCCAATATGTTTTTTTTTTCCCATTACATCTATAGCACTTTCTTTTCTCTTCTTTTTTTTGGGGGGAGGTAGAGTATGATAAGAACCCAGAGGTGCTCTACCACTGAGCTGTATCCCCAGCCATTTTTAATATTTTATTTAGAGACAGGGTCTTGCTAAGTTTCTGATGCTGATTTTGAACCCTTGATCCCCCTGCCTCAGCCTTCTGAGCTGCTAGGATTACAAGTGTTTGAACAAAATTTTTTAAAAACACAATTAATGTTAGGAAATAATAAGTATGTTACCCTGATCTCTTACTCTAGCTGCCTTCTCAGTTCTTTAATTTACTGAGTAAAAGTGCTCTTTTCCCTAGTAAATTGGCTTATCAGGTCCCTGTTTTTGTTTTTGTACTTCCCCCTTGCTACTATCAAGTTCTAAAGCTCTCAACATTAAAGGAAGGATCAAGTTCTAAAGCTCTATCAAGTTCTAAAGCTCTCGACATTAAAGCAGCAGTTGTTATGGTTTGTATGTGAAGCATCCTCCAAAAGCTCACAAGTAAGACAATGTAAGAAAGTTTAGAAAAGAAATGATTGGGTTAATACTCTYACAACTCAATGAATTAATCCTCTGATGTGTGATTAAGTGATCCATATCTGGAAGAGATAGGCACTGGCTTTGTGATAAATATTTGTATCTGGTGAGTAGATTCTCTTTCTCTGCTCTCTGATCACCATGTGAACTGCATCCCTCCTCCATACTCTTCCATCATGATATTCAGCCTCACCTTAAACCCCAAGGAATGGACCTGGCTGTATATGGATTGAGACCTCAGTAACCATAGCCTCCAAATAAACTTTTTCTCTTTTAAAATTGTTCAGATTGGGTCCTATAGTCATAGCAGTGGAAAAAGTTGACTAAAATAGCAGTTCCCAGACCTTTTGATATTTCTTTATATGCTTAAACATTATTGAAGACCTCAAAGAGATTATTTCATAATACTCCGTAATATATTAAAATGAAAGCAGAGAAACTTAAAACACCAATTTGAACAGCTATTCACATACCAAACTACTTTCACAAGAGTTATATAGGCCTAGTGAAAGACCAAAGTTCCTGGTTTTAGYATAATCATTAAAAAAAAAGAAGCATTGAAAAAGACAGGAAAGAGTTATTTATGTCATATTTCCCTGAACTCCAAGCAGTTTAGAGAGATATGTCTCCTATATGAGGAAAGAAGATGGAATTAGGTCCAGGCCTTAGGCTTATTACAAGGATTTAAGGAACTCAAAAACTTAATAGTGTCACTGTTCTATGCTGATTTTAAATCCTTTGGGTATAAACTGAGGAGTGGGATAGCTGGGTCAAATGGTGGTTCCATTCCAAGTTTACTGAGGAATATCTATTCCACTTTTCATGATAGTTGTACTAATTTGCAGTCCCACCAGCAACGTATAAGGGTACCTTTTTCCCCACATTCTCACCAACATTTATTGTTGTATTCTTTTTTTAATATTTTTTTTTTTTTTTAGTTTTCAGAGGACACAACACCTTTGTTTGTATGTGGTGCTGAGGATTGAACCCGGGCCGCATACATGCCAGGCGAGTGCGCTACCGCTTGAGCCACATCCCCAGTAGTTGTTTGTATTCTTGATGATTGTCATTATAACTGGAGTGAGATGAAATAGAGTAGTTTTGATTTGCATTTCTCTAATTGCTAGAGATGTTGAACATTTTTTCATGTTTGTTGATGGATTGCATTTCTTCTTCTGTGAAGTGTCTGTTCAGTTCCTTCGCCCATTTATTGATTGAGTTATTTGGTTTTTTGGTGTTCAGTTTTTTGAATTCTTTATATTTCCTGGAGATTAATGCTCTGAGGTGTGTGTGGTAAAGGTTTTCTTCCATTCTGTAGGCTCTCTGTTCAAGTTCTTAATTGTTTTCTTTGCTGAGAAGAAGCTTTTTAGTTTGAGTGCATCCCATTTATTAATTTTTGATTTTATTTTTTGTGCTTTAGGAGTCTTATTAAGGAAGTCAGATCCTAGGATGACATGGTGAAGATTTGGGCCTACAGTGACACAGCCACATCAAGGTTTATAGCTGCTCAACTCACAATAGCTAACTATGGAATCAACCAATGTGTCCTTCAACAGATGAAAGGATAAAGAAAATGTGGTATATACACAAGGGAATATTACTCAGCCTTAAAGCAGAATAAAATTGTGGCATTTGCCAATAAATGGATGGAGCTGGAGAATATCATGTTAAGCAAAATAATCCAATCCCTAAAACCAAAAGTCAAATGTTTTCTCGGATATGTGGATGCTAATTCACAGTAAGTGAGAAGGGGCTAGGGAAGAATAGAGTTATTTGGGATTAGGTAGAGGGGAATGAAGGGAGGGGAGGGGTATGGGAGTAGGAAGGACATTAGAATCAATCTGACATTATTACTCAATATACATATATGACCATACAACTGGCATAATTCTACACCATGTACAACCAGAAGAAGGATAAAATACTCCATTAATGCATGATGTGTCAAAATGCATTCTACTGTCATATATTACTATTTAGAACAAATTTAAAAAGACATAATAAAGATGATCATGAACAGAAAAAGCTGTAGCATAAAAAATATACACTAAAACTGTTTTCATCTGTTAAACAAGCTTCAGAATCAGTAGTATTGACAGCTAAAAGAAATGAGAATAATAATTATTCATGCCCTTTTTTATTTTGTGGTGTGTGTGTGTAAAATTCATTGACAGAGATACAGGAGAAGAAGTCAATATTAATAAAAACTAATACCTGTTGAGTGATTAAAAAAACTCAAGAGCAAAATATCAAATATCCTGGTTAAAAAGTTAGGCAATAAACCTACATAAAGATTTCTCAAAAGAAGATATACAAATGGCAATGAGTTTGTGAAAAAATGTTCAACATCATTGCCAGAAAAAATGTAAATCAAAACTATGACGTGTCACCTCACCCTAGTAAAAATGATTATTATCAAAAAGACTTAAAGTTAACAAGTGCTGGTGAGGATGCAAAAAAAGAAAATCACGTATTTACTGGGGAAAATGTAAATTAGTCCAACAATTATGGAAAATAGTATGGAGGCGCCTCAAAAAATTAGAAATAGAACTATCATAATGATCCAGGCATTCTACAATTGGTATCTAGCCAAAGAAAATGAAATCAGTATGTTGAAGAGACATTTGCATTCACACATTTATTGCAGTACTCTTATGTGGAAAATAAAAAAGTTTATCTAGTAAAAGTTGAGAGTACAGGACTGGGGATGGGGATATAACTCAATGGTAGAACGCTTGTCCATCAGGGTGAAGCCATGGGTTTCATCCCTAGTACAAAAAACCAACACACAACAAAAATGCACCTAAAAAAACCCAAAAAACAGAAATCATAAGTTGAGAGTAGAATGTTAGTTACCAGAGGCTGCAGAGAGTGGGGAGGGAGAAGACATGGGGACAGTTTGTTCAATGGGTACTAAATTATAGTTAGATAGGAGTAAGAGGTACATAGAATGACTATAGATAACAATAATATACTATATATTTCAAAAAATTAAAAGAATTGAGTATTTTCATAAAGAAATAAAAAATATTTGAGTAGATATGTTACACAACACATACATATATTAAAACAGCACATGGTATCTGAATAAATGTGTACAATTTACAACAGACACTAGTATGGCAATATGTAAAAACGTGGATGTGTAACTGATGTGATTCTGCAATCTGTATACGGGGAAAAAATGGGAGTTCATAACCCACTTGAATCAAATGTATGAAATATTATATGTCAAGAACTATGTAATGTTTTGAACAACTAATAATAAAACTTAAAAAAATTTAAAAAAATAATTAAAAGTAAATTTAAGTTCAAATTAAAAACAAGCAAATAAAAGTTACATTTTATTTTCCCCTGTATAAATTATATATTTTATATTATTAAAATAGGAAATAAAATCAAACTAACAATGAAAAAATAAATGCATAATAAATTTTTCAAGAATTTTTCAAATTACTTCAATGACTATAGGAAACAAGGACTATTCATTCTCTTTAAATACAAATTTTATATAAATATACTTAGAATGAATTCTCAGGTAGAGAATGCTTATTTGAGAGCATTTATTTTCACAACCTGCTTTGGTTATTAAAATGTTTTCACATTTAATCCTTGATAATGCCTGTGTTTATGTAGAAATTGAAGGTCTGAATGATACTTTTAAATTTCTAAAATTTCTGAGTCTAGCTAACATAGAACTAAATTTACGACACACTTTCCCACCTTAAACAAACAGAAAATTAAAACTTACTGACAACATAATTTTTGAAGACTTGGAAGTACTGGCAGAGAAATATCCAAATTTTACCTACCTCAATCTGAGTGGAAACAAAATCAAAATCTCAATGCACTGGAACTTTTCAAATGTTAAAAATTTAAAAGGTCTTGAGTTTCTTAACTGTCAGAGAAGATTACAGAGAAAATATGTGTGCATTGCAGCAGCAAATCATACACTTAAATGGATTTGATCAGGAAAATAATGAAGCACCACACTCTAAAAAGGAGAATCAAAAGGAGAAATTCAGGAAGATGATGATGATGATGACTATGTTGAAGATAGAGAGGAGGAGGAGGAGGAGGGGGAGGGGGAGGGGGGGGGGGAAGAAGAAGAAGAAGAAGAGGAGGAGGAGGAGGAGGAGGAGGAGGAGGAGGAGGAGGAGGAGGAGGAGGAGGAGGAAAGAAGAAAGAAGAAAGAGAAGAATAATATTTTGGGGTGAAGAGGAGGAAACAAAATGGTGAAGATGGAGAGGAAGAAAATCATTAGATCTTCTTACAACACTCTGAGCTCAGATTCCCTGATGTTCCTGGGTGTGCAACAGAGCAATCACTTCTTTATTTCTTCACGAACAATAGTTACCCCTACAGAAGATAATGTGTAACTTTTTTACAGGAAAAGTGTGATTTTTCTATTTTTTGTTTGATCATTCCAAATAAGACTCACTACTCTATGAATGATCATATTGTATGCAGAGAAAAACTTTCATGGAACCCCACTATGAAATTTCCCATTTACTTAGAATCTTAATTTTTCTAACTCAAGCTCACTATAATAGTCATTTTTAGCCCATAATTAAAATTTGATCACTTTTACATAAGTGTTGTTTGGTGCACTTCATTTCTTGGTTATAAAGTTATTTACAAATTAACTGAAACTATAGTCAACTGAGATACAAAATGATAATAGAGATCTTTAATGTAAAGACAATGACTTTTGTTCTGGCTGGGGATACTTGGGTGCTTATTTGTCACATGAGTAACTTGCAAAGTAGAAGCAGAACAGTAAAAATTCTATTYAGAAATAC